ATTCCACCAGGGGCGCGAGACCCTAAGTCTGCCTGTGTTCAAATGTCGATGGTTCGATCCGTAGGAGGGTGTAAAAAATACGCCTTCCATTGGTTTGGTCGAAGTTAAACCATCAACCGTCTATGCCGGAGCCGATCTCTTCATTGCGGCTACCCAAGCTACACAAGTATATTATCTGCCTTACCCATGCCAGAAAGAGTACCTAAAGGGTTGGGAAGTTGTGTTCAAGGTGTCGCCACATGGTAAGCTACCGAACCCGAATGAAGACGATTACTACAACATTAACCCCATGACATATGAGGGAGTGTTCTATCAAGAGCAACCTGATGATGATGATGTGGCTAGAAACGATGACGCTAGACCATTGGGTGATGATGATGTGGATCCAAACGACGATGATGCACGGAATGATGGTGAGACCATTGTCAATGAAAATGACATACTTATGCTAGAAAAGTTAAACGAAGACGCTGACGACGAGGAAGAGCCTCCACCTCCGTCAGACAACGAAGATGATATGATTGATAGTGATGATGAGACGGACCGAGAAAGAGGTTACAACAATGATGATTCATATGGTTTCTAGCAGATGTACGTTTCAAGTCTTTTTTTCTATAGTTTAGGAATATGCCTTTTTATGCATTTTTATTAATGTGTTTATTATCATGCCTTTTCCTTCATTTTATTAATTTACTAATTGCTTATTCTCTTTTCAATGCAGGTTCGTGGAACATGGGCAAGGGGAAGGCCGACGGCGTGGGTTTCCTACGCAAGGTCGCCGGCCTGCCTAGTCGGAGTGGTCGAGCCGTAATACTCCCCCCGGCTACTTGACGATGACTCCTCATAGGGAGATCGAGGGAGAGGTGCCCCTAGAGGAGGAGGGGGCAGGGGGAGAGCCTTTAGAGGGCGAGGTGGTGGGGAGAGAGCCACTACAGGGGGTCGCGGCCAGAAAGAGCGCACCCTCACCGACTTAGGGGTGTTGCCTTCGAGGCCCTCCTCTAGTGAGGTACCCTCCTCTAGTGAGGTACCCTCCTCTAGTGAGGTACCCTCCTCTGGCGAGGAGGAGGAGGACGACGAGGCAGGCGAGGAGGAGGAGGAGGTTCGGGATGGGGTCGAGGAGGAGGTGGAGGAGGAGGACGAGGAGGAGGAGGATGAGGAGGTTGGGGAGGGGGAGGCAGTCGAGGAGGAGGGTGGTGGCGGGGATGATGGTGGTGGCGGGGAGGGGGTTGGCAACAAGGGGTGGCTGCGTGGTAACGCAAAGCTACCAAAGCAAGTTCCTGCTACTGAGGAGCATAAGTGGCTCATTGAGCCCATGGGGAAAGAGTAAGTGCCAATTTGTAATAATTTCATTATTTTGCTTGTCACATGCTCATTCCGATTGTTATATATTTTGCTTGTCACATGCTAATAGTTCATTCTTTTGCAGCAACTGGATATATTCTAAAGGGGTCCGTATTCCCAACGGCCTCATCACCGTCTTGCTGAAGTTACACTGGCCGGGGTTGTACTGTCCGGATCCAGTCAGGCAGCCGGACCATCGGGTCTTGGCCACGAGCTGGGAGCACTGGGAAGCGGCCCTCCACGCGGACCATGGGACCCATGCCAAGGCCGTGATCACCACTTTCTGGGTGAGTTCTCTTCAGAAGCACAAGTCCATTCTACTTTCATGAATGATTTAACTCATGTCTTCTTGCATTCTTGTTTCATGCATGATTGTAGAAATTATATTGAGTTCTTCCGGAGCACAGGGCCAGAGCGGACCAGATCATGCTGCGCCAATGCAAGAAGAAGGCCCGCCAGATGCAGTACAAGGTGCGTTATGTGGCCATCTCGACATACATCACGACTATCTTGGTGTGAAGATGACCAAGGACGACGCACGGAGGATGGGCATTACCTTGGATAAGGACGAGTTCTTGAAGGTAACTATGCCATTATGCTTTCATTATGCCATTATGCTTTCATTATGCCATTATGCTTTCATTATGTAGGTGTTACCAAATTGGTGTTATGGAAAAGACGAGTCCTGGGCGGCATTGGTGGATCTTTGGTGTGATGAGGCTGGAGCCTGGGCGGCTATGAGAGTCAAAAACAAGGCTAACCGAGGGAAGGAGGGAGTACATGCTCAGGGGAACCGAAACCACTATCTCCACAAGGCAGTTAATGTATGACTAACCCCATTAAACATTCTTCTTCTTCTTCTATTTACCATCACTTTCTTATGTATGACTAACCTCTGTTTGGTGGTGTAGGAGGAGAAAATGAAGTGGCCGCTCTCAGACATGCAAGCGTGGGAGATCGCCCATACACGGAAGGACCCCAAGCCTGGCGAGCCCAAGTACTACGGCAAGAAGACTGCGGGGAGGAAGAAGGCCTACTCTGAAGCGTATCTGAAGTTACATCCTGACACACCTGACCCCATTGCGGCGGCTCTGGACGACAGGGCGGTGGTGAGCATGGGGCCCAAGGAGCACGGTCGGGAGGCGGTTCTCGATGCTGTGATTACTCCTACTATCTCCTACACACAGCTTCGTCGGATCGACCCGGGCCTGAGCCAGCGCACGAGCCAGCCAGTGACCAGTGCACAGTCCGTCTTTCAGGAGCAACAATCTGTAAGTATTTTCCCTCTTATCTTCATTGCTCATTTCATTTTCCGCATTTAGTAGTTTTATGAGTTCCATCATGTCATACCGTAGGCCTACCTGGAGTACACATGCCAGGAGACCATGGCGTGGCATGAGAGGCTTTATGAACACCAAGTGGAGAGGGATCGCCAGATGCATCAGGCTTTTCAGGATATGGCGGCCGGCAGGACTCCTCAGTTGCAGCCAGCACAATGTCCTCCAACAAAACCAGTGCTGCTGACCTTTGAGGAGTTTGTGGCACAGAACGCTGGCCCCTCGCCGGTTAGTTCATCCCCAATCTATTCACCCAAAGCATGTCATGCCTTTCAACATAGTCATATATTCCGTTAATATGTCTTTTCAACATCCAGGGAACAGGTGGATCTACCGTTGGCGGTGGTCTTCGCAGCACTACGGAGACACGGAGCCCGACCACTCCGATCCACAGAGGCGGAGGTGGAGGCGGAGGTGCAGGCGGTCTTGGCGGTAGCGTTGCCACTAGCAGTGACGACCTGGGCTTCGGCGGTCTTGGCGATGATGACCTCCGCGGTGCTCGACGTCGTGGCGCTTAAGCCTTGTGTGTGGTGATGATGCTTGAGATGACTTGTGTGTGGTGATGACCATTTAGAGACTTGTGTGTGGTGCTTTTCTATATGCTTGTGCTTATGCTTATGTTGGTTGGGAGGATGATCATTTAGAGACTTGTGTGTGATGATGCTTATGCAATTATTGTTCGTTGATATGTGCTGCTGATATGTGCTGTTATATATGTGCTGTTGATATTTGCTGTTATTTGAATTGAACTGATTTGAAAACAAACATAAAAAAGGAAAATAAAATAAAAGCAAACTATGCCGACTACGTTGGCATAGGGCTGGCGTGAGCTCCCAGTTGCTGACGCGTGGCACCTATGCCGACGACATAGCCGTCGGCATAGTTTTTAAACTAAGCCGACGGCTATGCCGTCGGCATAGGTGCCACACGTCAGCAACCGGAAACTCTGTATGAAGGAGTATGCCGACGGCCTAGCCGTCGGCATAGTTTGAAACTAGGCCGATGGCCTGGCCGTCGGCATAGCCCTTGTCCATGCCCAACGACAGGGTGCCACATGGCATCCTGTCGGTGGCCAAACTTGACGGTGGCCGCCGTTAGGCGTGATTGTTGCCGACGGGCGGGGTGGTCGGCATAGATGTACGGCCCCCGTCGGCATAGCATATATGCCGACGGCTTTTCTATGCCGACGGCCTCCCTGGCTGTGCCGACGCATATGTTGCCGACGGCCCTATGCCGACGGGGACCGTCGGCATAGACCTATCCCGACGGGAATCAGAGCTATGCCGACGGCCTTGGCCGTCGGCATAGGGGTCAATTCCGGTAGTGAGTGGTATACACACATGTAGTGAACGACTTTGTGGATACAAACTGAGTACATTTACACATGCCTTCATCTTAATTGCCCAAAAATTCCTTTGAACTAAGACAAGCATGATAATTGATAGCTAAAAAGTTAGAAGGTTGAGATTGGATTTTCACTACCCGGGTGTCTAGGCACCCGGTTATCACCACCATCCGTCCAGGAAACAACTGCTCGGGATCTGGACCTGACCCTGCACCACTAGTTGTATTAGCAGGTCTAGGATTTCTTTAAGCGCTGGGGACTACAAATATTTTAAATGACACTAGGCCTATTCTGGCACTGCGGCGGCATGCATGAGCGGGACAGCGGAACATGCATCGATGTGACTATACCTCTTTTCCATCTCCTCTCCCTCACAGCCTCTCTCTTCTGGCATTTATCACTGACACACACGTCTCACAAAAAGAAAACACTCCTTACCTTTCTCCTCTCTCTCCTTTGACAACCTCTCTCTCCTCCCCGAACTCCCGTCACTCTGTCATGAAAAAAAGTTATTTTCTCTCTCACAGCCTCTCCGCTCTCTCCTGTCATTCCTCTCTCTCATACGGGCTCACTGAAAGAAAAGCCTCTCTCTCTCCTCACCTTTCTCCTCTCTCTCTAGTCAAAAGAAGAACAGAGAAAAATATACTAGAATAGAGGAGATTGACATGACGTGATGAGTGAAAGAGTCGACAAAACAGCTCCCCTTTGCCACAGTAGCCTGTGCAGACAAACTGGTCGGGAACAGTGGCATGAGCCTACGGTGTACCTAGAACCCAGTGTACTAATGTCTGACTCATGCTGCAAATGAGCTGGTGCTTGTCAGACCGATGCACAGATCTCAGCGGGAATTGACGAACCGATAAGAGGGTGCCGGGAGTCCCTGGAGCTACCAGACATTTTCGAAGTTAGAATCATGCACCGTCTCAATGAATACTAACTTACCGGTGCACAATCCCGACATTTCGTACTGTTTATTACTATTTATCAAGGATGCCCATATAACCAACGCCTGGTAGTTCTGGAAACAAAATGTACAAGAAAGGACGGAAGGGTAAACACACCTTGACGATTGCAAGCTTCCCATCTTCTTGCACAGTGCATTTGCAAGACACCGTGGAATCACTTCGCTGCTTGTCGAACACCTGTCAGGTATTTACAGGCCCAGGAAGATTCTACGTGGAGGCGAAGGAGGATTCGAAATGAGCAGACCATTAGGCTCTCTCCCTGGCGACGGCCCGGGCTCCCCGTCGCGGGTGCCTGTGGCTTCGACCACCGAGGGCTGGGAGGTGGTCCGGCGCGGCGTCTGCTCCTCCCCGGCGCGGACGGGGCCGGCCCTCGCGGTCGGCGCGGCGCTGGCGCCAGTGGGGGGGCGCTTCTGGTCGCTGGCTGAGCTCGGTTCGGAGGATGAGGTCGACGACGATGCGGAGGTCGAGGAGCGGGATATGGTGCCGGCGAGGCCGTCGCTTGGCGATTTCGTGGCCCGAGCGCACGCGGAGGGGAGCGGCGTCGCGAGGGAGCGCCGTCGTTTCGCTCCGGGCGGCAGGGGCTCCCGTGTGACCACTGTTCGTGCTTGGAGACCTTCCCTGTCTCCGGGCAGGGACTCGGCGTCCCCTGGGGATGTCGCGCAGGGCATCCGGGAGAAGGCGGCGATGGCTCTTTTGGCTCCATTGGAGTCGGTGGAGGAGTGGCCGGGCCTGCCGGCGTCGGCGGCGGCCGGAAGGGGGCAGGCGACGGCAGCAGCACCGCGGGCGGCGGCAGACGGATCTGACTCTCGGCTGGTTAGGGTTGCCGGTTCTGGGCCCGGGGGCGCAGGGGGCCTGGCGGTCAGCGGATCGGCCCACTCGCCTAGGCCGGTTGGGGCCGGAGTCGGCCCAACTGCTGGGGGGGACTGTGTTCCTTCTGGGAGTGGGGGGATGGCTTCAACTGGGCCCGCGGGGTATGCCCGGCCCGACTCGGGCCTACCTCGGCCTCGGCTCAGGTCTGGCGCCTATATATGGCTCCGGCGTGGGTGCCGCGACCCCTCACTAGGGTTTCCCGCAGCCAGATCTGAGGTGCGGCGCTGGGCTAACCTCGCTCGCGTCATCCATCCTGTCTCCCCTCCCCCTCCTCTCTCCATTTCGTTTGCGGCGGCGGTGATGAGCGGGCAGCGTGCGGAGAAGAGGCCTATGGAGCCTCCGGTCTTGGATGGAGAGCGGCGGCGTGAGCGAGATCTGCAGGACAGGGCGAAGAAGGAGATGCGTGCAAGGCCGAGCGGAAGAGGCGTGCGGAGCCTAGAGCAAGAGGGGCGAGAGGGGGATTGGGGTCCTCCTCCCCCGTGGTGGATCCAGCAGCAAGAGCGCAGGAAGAAGAAGAAGGAGATGGCGCGGCGCAGGGAGCTCGAGCGCAAGTCTGTGGATCTCCCCAACTGTGGTGGTGGCCATGGGGACCCCCTGACCAAGAAGCCCAGGGCGGCGACCGAACCTATGGCGGTGGCTCTTCCCCCGGGAGCGAAGGGCACGGCGGGTGAGCCCATCTCGGTGGAGGACGCGTCGGAGGCGCTGGAGGTGGAGTGCTTCAAGTGCGGAAGGCTTGGTCACTACCAGTCCAAGTGCAAGTTCCAGCCCCTGTGTGTGCTATGCAAGGAAGAAGGGCACGCATCTGCGCACTGTCCGACGAGGGGTCGGCAGCCTAGCTTGCAGATTATGGGGAGCGCCATCTCTGGAGAAGGGTTCTTCTGCCTGCAGTTCGAAGAGGAGGCGGAGGTTGAGGGCCCTCAGCTGCTCTCGGTTGGCAATGCTGCGATTCTGTCTGCAGAGCCGGGCCGTTTGAATATGCGGATCCTCAAGCAGGAGCTCAAGCACATGGTCACGGGGGATTGGGACTGGCAAGTTACCCAAGTGGGAGGAGACGACTTCATGGTGGTTTTCCCCTCTGCAGATCTACTTCACATGGCTCGGACAAGTGGCAAGGTGTTCCTCTCCATCAATGACATCACTGCTAGGGTGCGAGATGTGGTTCATGAGGTGGTTCCCCCTTTGGTTATGCCAGAAGCTTGGGTGCGGCTACATGGGATCCCGGAGAAACATCGCAAGGTCGAGCGTATCACGAAGGCTTTCAAGATGCTGGGACGGCCAATCGCGGTGGACGAGCTCTCCATCATCAAATTGGGCCCGGTGAGGATGAAGTTGGCCTGCAAGTCTCCGGCCAAGCTGAACGGCACGGTGGAGGTGTGGTTCAACCACGAAGGGTACCAGATCAGAGTAGAGCTGGAGCAGCCCACGCGCAGGCTGGGGGCTGGTGGAGGGGCTCCGGGGGCGGGCCCCTCCGCCCCACCGCCTGACAACCACAACGGCAATAGTGGGAATCACAAGTCTGGTCCCCTAGCGGGCAATCCCTCCCAGGTTGCCGCCAATGGTGCGCGTGTGCCTAAGGTTGCGGTGGTGGTGCCATCGAAGGGAGCGGCTGGCTCTGGTGTGAAAGCAGATGGCCAAGACACGGTGATGAGCGAGTTGGCTGAAGAGCAGGAAGACAGTATGCAAGATACGTCCATTGACACGGAGACATGGGAGAAGTTGGGGGTGTTTGTGACTCAAGACACGGCTGTTAGCCTTCCCCCCCTCGCTCGCTCCCTGGACTCGTCCTTCGAGGTGCTGGGTGAGCAAGTGCCTCTGCCGCTGGTGGCTATGGAGACCACGGCCGCGCCTGCCTCCCCGCAGCTCGTCGGGGGTGCGGGGCTGGAGTGTGTCCCCATGGATGCGGGCCCCACACCGGCCTCGGAGCGGCGGCTGTCGAGCGGCTCCGGGCGCCAGAACAAGAAGACTGCTGGGCGGAAGACAGGGAGCAAGCCTATGGAGTCGGCTGCAGCTGGATCGGAGTCGGCGCTGGGAGGTGAACTGGGGGCGGAGTTGGCGGCGGCGAGGCCGGCTTCCAAGGCCAAGCGTACAAGGGCAACCCCGGTGGCGTCTCGGGCACCTAGCGCTCGCGCCAAGGCCAAGCTAGGGGACATGACGTCCCTGGAAAGCGCCAAGCTCCGCGCGGCTGACAAAAACATGGATGTTGCAGGTAACCCTCCCCCCTCTTTCAAGATCCTGAATGCTTTTTCCGATGATCATCTTGCTGAGATCCTCCACGATAGCGGCGTTGCGATAGACGATACGAATTTAGACATTATTTCGCTAGTAAGAGCGCGTGAAGAAGCACAGGCTGCCCTCGCGGCGGTGGCTGCCAGAGAAGAGCCGGTCCAGCCCGCGGAAGGCGGGCCTGCGGCATCGGTAGGGACTGGTGACGACATTGTGCCCACCGAGGGAGACGAGGCCTGGGTGGCCTCGGACCTGCCCTCCTCCAGCCGACCGCCGGCTAGGAAACGCATGGCCAAGAAGGTGAGCTCACGTGGAGTTCGCCTGCGCAATCGAGTAATCTGATGCGGTACTTTTTCTGGAACATTCGTGGGTGCGGGCATGTGGGTCGGCGTACGCAGCTTCGCGAGTACATGTCTAAAGAACGCACCGACTTTGTCGCGCTCCAAGAGACGATTAAGGTTGCTTTTTCGTTTAGAGATCTAATTGCGTACGACCCTCTTCAGCGTTTTGATTGGTTCTGGTCTCCTTCGGTGGGCCTCTCTGGTGGCCAACTGATGGGATGTAATAAAGATGCTTGCGAGGTTATTTCATGGGAATCCGGTGTGTTTTATATCGCTGCCACAGTGCGCCGTCGGGTTTCTCTTGCATCTTGGGTCATCGTAAGCATGTACGGGCCGGTTGATCATGCGCGGTCTGCTGAGTTCTTGGGAGAACTCACAGTGTTGGTTGGGGCCAAACAAGCGTCTAACTTACCTGTTTTGGTGGGTGGCGATTTTAACTTGATCCGCTCGGGGGCGGACAAGAACAATGAAAACATTGATTGGGCTAGGGTGTCCCTGAATAATGCCATCGCGGCAGCGGCTCTAAGGGAGATTGCGCGTACTGGGGCTAGATACACGTGGACGAACAAACAGCGGGAGCCAGTGCGCTGTGTCCTTGACCGTGTTTTTTGTTCGTGCGACTGGGAGGCTCTTTTTCCCCTTTGTACCCTAGTGGCTGAGACGCGCATTGGATCAGACCACGTCCCGCTGGTTCTCTCCTCAGGGGATGAGAGTGTGCACCGTAGCCGCAGATTCTTCTTCGAGACAGCATGGTTCGAACACGAAGGGTTCGGCCAACTTGTCACGAATCGATGGTCCCTGATAGGTAATCAGGTTGGTCGACAAAGAGGACCAGTCGAGTTTTGGTCCTTGGCGGCCGCGGCCTTGCGGGCTTTCCTCAGGGGATGGGGAGCCAATCATGGCAGCGAGTCTAAACGGGCCAGGGAGCGCATAGTGGGTGAAATTGCTCTCCTTGACGCCCAGGCGGACGTAAGACCCTTCTCTGGGGACGAGTGGGAGCTTAGATACAACTTAGAGAACCAAGTCTTGGCTATTCTAAGAGAGGAGGAGGAGTATTGGCGCCGCAGGGGCGGCGTCAAGTGGGTCGTGAAAGGTGACGCCAACACGGGATATTTTCACGCGTACGCTAACAGAGGAAGCGCAAAAGCACGATCCTTAGGTTGCAGTCCGAGGGCGGGACTTTGGTCTCCCAAAACGAGATAGTTGCACACATTTTCGACTTCTTTGTGGAGCTGTTGGGTACGGCCGAAACAAAGAACTTCAGTCTCAGCGAGGACTTGTGGGGTTGGCACGAGCGGGTCTCGCAACAGGAAAACGACGCCTTGATGGTGTCCTTCTCGCCCCAAGAACTCGACCGTGCGTTAGCAGGGATGAAGAACGACACGGCTCCTGGGCCGGATGGCTGGCCGGCGGAGTTCTTCAAACGGTTCTGGTCGTCGCTTAAGGACTTGTTCCTAGCGATTCTCAACGGGTTTGCCCTAGGAACGGTGGACCTGGAACGGCTCAACTACGGTGCTATCTGCTTGATCCCCAAGGTTAAAGGGGCAGATTCTATTAAGCAGTTTCGGCCGATCACGCTCATTAACGTCCCTTTCAAGATCTGTGCGAAAGCCTACGCATCCAGGTTAGCGCCGGTTGCTCAACGTGTCATTAGCAAAAGCCAGACCGCTTTCCTGAAAAGCAGGAACATCCTGGAAGGGCCAATTGCACTCACAGAGATTATCCATGAGGTGAAGCGTACGCATGGACAGGGTGTCATTCTCAAACTAGATTTTGAGAAAGCGTACGACCGAGTAAACTGGGAGTTTATTCGGGAGGTCCTCCTCAAAAAGGATTTTGAGGCAGGGTCTGTCCACCGGATCATGCACCTGATCTCGAGTGGCAACACCTCGGTCATTGTCAATGGCGACATGGGTAAATTCTTCCGCAATCAGAAAGGACTGCGACAAGGCGACCCCATTTCCCCCCTAGTTTTTAACTTTGTGGCGGACGCCTTGGCTGCCATGTTGTCCAAAGCCAGGGAGGCCGGACACATTAAGGGGCTAGTTCCGCACCTCATCACAGGTGGGGTGACGCACCTCCAATACGCTGACGACACGTTGCTGCTCTTCAATCCGGACGAACATAGCATTGCCTCGATTAAGCTATTGCTACTAGCTTATGAGCTCCTCTCCGGACTCAAGATTAACTTACATAAGAGCGAGGCCATCACCATGGGGATTGATGGGCAGCACAGCACTCGTGTTGCTAACTTGCTTAATTGTAAGTTGGGGAGCTTTCCAATTAAGTACCTTGGGCTACCTATCTCGCACCGCAAACTTTCGATAGTAGAGTGGGAGCCCCTTTACGGGAAAGTGGCCAACAGGGTAAGTCCGTGGCGCGGGAGATTCATGTCTTCTGCCGCTAGGCTTATCCTGACGAACTCAAGTCTCTCTTCCCTTCCCCTCTTCACAATGGGGATGTTCTTACTAGCTAACGGTGTCCACGCGAAGTTAGACACTCCAAGAGCTCGGTTCTTTTGGGAAGGAACCGGAATCAAGAGGAAGTATCACCTAGTTAAATGGGCAGCAGTCTGCAGGCCAAAAAAATATGGTGGTTTGGGGATTCTCAACTCCAAACTGATGAACGTGGCCCTCCTTGCCAAATGGTGGTGGAGGCTGGCCCAAGGTGAGTCGGGGCTTTGGGCAAGCCTGTTAAAAGCAAAGTATTTCCCAAACGGGAACCCATTAATTGCCCCGGCCAATGGTTCTGCGTTCTGGAGAGGGCTCCAAGAGGTGCGTCCGGCCTTTGACTTAGGGGCCAAATATTCGACTAGCAATGGCCAATCAACCCGGTTTTGGCTTGATCATTGGCTCGGTGCTTCTCCTCTGTGGCAAAGTCATCCCACCTTGTATAGGTTAGCCACTGACACTAACATCCTAGTAGGGGAGGCAATCCGGACTGTCCCTCCGGCGATCCACTTCATGCGGCCCCTTTCGATCGCGGAGCGCGAGTCTTGGAACGAGTTGAACCAGCTGATCGGTGTCAACCGCCTAGGCACGACGAGTGACACGGTAGAATGGAGCTTGACCGATTCGAAGAAATTTTCGGTCAAGTCCCTATATAACAAGCTCACTGAAGGGCCAGTGCTTGATATAGCTAAGGGGCTTTGGAAGGCAAGCCTGCCTCTGAAGATCAAAATCTTCATGTGGCAAATGCTCCGGAACTGGTTGCCTACGTCGGACAACGTGGCCAAGCGCAACGGCCCGGCCGACGGCACTTGCGGGCTATGCGGTCTTGTCGAAGATGCGAACCATGTGTTCTTTAGGTGCCATTTGGCTAGGTTCGCTTGGAGTGCGGTGCGGGAGGCCTTCCACTCGGACTGGAATCCAGCATCGGGACACCAACTTGTCTCCCTCCTCAAGTCCACTAAAGGGACCTCAAGTAGGATAGCTTGGCGTTGCGTAGGGGCGCTGCTTTGGTCTATCTGGACGACCCGTAACAAGTTTACGATCGAGAAAAAATTTCCTCGACACCCCGCGGATGTCATCTTCAAATGTCACTTATTTCTGCAGATGTGGACACCCCTGGGGAAGGAGCGCGATGCTGAGCGCATGACAGCAGCTATGGCGAGCATCAAGGAGATTCAGGCGAAGGCAAGACAGGCGCCAGCAAGCTGACGAGGCTTTTTGAGTGACTTTTGGGGCATGCTAGTTTGGTCGACGCAAGATGAACTTTAATGGTAGTTTGTAATACGTGCTGTGTCGAACCTTGTGTTTCGCAGTGAGCCGTGCGAGGCTCGTCAGAACTATTTTCTTATCTCCGCTTTCCGCTTTGGTGGTATCTCATGTACTTCTGGCCTATGGGCTTTATTAATTTAAAGCCGGACGCCTCTAGCGTCTTCGTTCCAAAAAAATTTACAGGCCCAAAGTCAACTCAGCACAACCAGGGAAAAAGTCTCAGATTGTTAGACTGTACACAAACCTTGACATGATAGTGCTCTTTTGTTGAAACGAACTCTAAATCCATCGTCTTCACAGCGAATTGCTCCATGCCATCCAAGAAATCACTGGGCAGATTCGTGTAGAACTTTTTACGCACCTGGCTCTTGGATCCTTCCGTCCCTGCTTCCGCGAGGTCGCGCACGGCGTCCATGGAGACGGGCAATCCGCCACCACAAAAACTGGGGTGTGGCGCGCGTTAATCACAGTGGTGATGTGATACGAAGCAGAGATCCAAGAAGTGGACGGATAAAGGAACTCACGGTTGGAAGTGGAACAGGACCTTGCCGGCCCTTGCCATCAGACTCAGTTTTGCCTCCTCGTCTTCCCGGGGCGCATCGTGCGTCCTCGCCCTCGCCCTCTCCGCCGCATCTAGGAGGTCCGGCAAGAACCTCTCGGCGATGGCGGTGGCCGCGGCCGCGGCCTCCGTGGAGCCGGAGGATGGGGAGGAGAGGGCAAGGACGAGGGGCTTGGCGCCGGTCTTGTGCTCAATGGGATCGCAGGGGAACGGCTCAAGGCGGACAGATGCAGCGTCGTCGGAGAAGGGCGGGAGCGGGGACCAGCGGGAGACGCAATCTGCGGCGTGGATGATCTTGTTGGACGGAGGGGTGTGGTGACGCTGACGCCCGCGAGGGGAGGAGATGGAGAGGGAATGGAGGGAGAAGATGGGCGGGGAAGGGGTTGGGGCGGGCTCGGTGGTGCTCAAATGGCGCTTGTGGGGAGGGTGGTAGGCCATGGCGGATGCCCGATTGGCCGACGGCGAGGTCAGAAGGGGGGGAAGGGAAGCTTAGCTAGCGGTTGACTGAACTCTCGGAAAAGGGGAAGTTTAAAGACCAACTTTAACGCACGATCCCAAACCACAAACGATGGCGGCGAGGTCAGGCTGGTTGTAAGGGGAGTCCGTAATGCATGCTATCATACGTTGGTATCATACATGACTACATTTATTGCCATGCATGATACAAAGTAGCTATCCTGATATGATACTCAAGGTTTTCTTTCTTTATTTAATTTTATGTCATTTCATTAAAATTGCTTAATTGACATGCATGATACTATTTATGATACTCTTATTACAATCAGCCTCAGAAGGGGAAAGGGAGAATTTTAACGCTTGATTAAACTCTTGCCTTCAAGAGGAAAAGAAGGAAGTTTAAAGGCCAATTCCGACGAACCTCTATGTACTATTCGTGACTTTATTTCTCATGCCATTGTAAACGATCTGCCTATTAAAGCATCTCCAACACACGCGTGAGCCGCTCCAGCAGGCGCTGCAAAAAACGGCGCGCGCACCCAGCACAAACAACATTTGACTCTCAAAACAAAACCAAGAAGATCAAACATATAAAAATAAACCAACAATAAATAGTTTAATCTATAATACCTAAATAGTTCATCCCCACTAACCTATTTCTCTTGACATGCAGGCTATCCACATCAGCAACACTGCCCCGTCAGCGTTTTAGTAGAGACTTACAAGCTGGGTCCACCACTGTAGAAAACAAACACGTTGGCTTCAGTTACTACTGGTAGGACGTAAAATCCAGCCCAGCCCATCGCCCCTCGCCCCCGCTTTCCTTCGTTTTTTGCGAGTACGCCACCGCTTCCTCCCTCCCCCGCTTTCCTCTGTGTCCACTCCGGCGCGCCGCCCGCCAGGATCCCATCTAATACGCAAACCGGCGGGCCGTCTCCCCCTGCGCAGTGCGCACGCCACACCCTGCCTCGCCGCCCCGCCCAGGATCCATTGGGCGCTCCCCTCGCCACTCCCTCCCTGTCCGCCGTGCCTCACTCCCACGCCGGCATCCATACTTCCTCCCGCCGCACACCGCTAAAGCCACGATGGCCACCTCCTTCCCTCCTCTCCCCTTCACCCTCCTTCTCTGGGGATCTCCACGGCCGTGTTTCCCTTCTCGGTGTGCTCCCTGCCTCCGTGATTCCCTGCTCCTTCTCCCGCTTCTGTGTCTCCGTTCGGGCCAAGGTGCTTGCAGCGTCGCTGGGGAGGTTGGATCCGGTCGGTCCACCGGAATCGCACCGGCAGCTAACGTCGGAGCTGGTACAGGGCTGGCTTCCTTTCCGGCCTGGAAGGAAGCTCTGGTCGCCACGCTGTGCTGAGCCATCAACTGACTGCTGCCCACGCTGTGCAGCGGCCACAGCAAGAGTCCACCTCCTCCCTCTGGTGCCACCCCGGCTGATTCAGCGCAAAGTTATCGCTCATTTGGTTGCCGAATCCAAATAGAGTATTCAAATGTGGTAAAGGCCTATCGCATGTTTATTTGGAAAGCAAAAATTTCATCCAGAATCAGTATTTCTTCTGGTTGATGTCCAAAAGAAGTATTCTGACCGGAGATGAGCTGCTCCTATCGTGGGTGACTAGATGGGTTGGGGGGAAGAGGTGTTTATTCTGATCCCCCTACGGCCGTGCATCCATCCAACTTGCAGCAACGCAATGCATTGCATCGCTTGAGTGTTCCTCTTTTGAGCAGAAGAAGGGTGGTTGTTATTTGTACTCTTTGGAAAACATCCCGTTGGTTATGGATTTGCTGCCGGTGAACTCCCGGTTACGGCGACGCTATCTGTCAATTTCAAGGTATTGTACTATGTTTCCACAAGAGTATTCTGTTTTTTTATTCTTATAATCCTATACATTCTTATGAAAAAGGCCACAACAACCTCACACAGCCTACTGTTGGATCCTCTCTGCGGAATCTCTGCAGCCCATTGCTTCCACGGGCCCACCCTGTCTATCTTCCATGGTTACGATGTATAGCGAACAGTCAGGTGGGTAATTGATGTTTGGCGCTCCGTCTCCTAATAATGTTCTTGACGGCGCTCCACTTCCTCTCCCCACTATCTCCACAAGAAACTGATGGATTGCCCTTTAAAGTCTGGTCCGCCTCACCTCATTTCTTGCATCGTCATGCAGTACGGGTGGTTCTCTGCACACCAATCATACTGCCTCCGGTGAGCAACTCCCTCCATTTCCTCCATGTTCTTTGTGTATGATATATTGCTACTTGCATGACAACTTTGCGCTTTCTCAGGTACTACGTGCTGGACGACACCCAAGTAGTCATCTTCGTTGGTTTTCCCTCACTGGATACACCGGCGCATTCAGTTTATGCCTCCTGCTGGTCCATAGCCTTCCCAACTTCTTGATTGCTAATTCAGGATTTTTGTTTGCTCAATATCCAATCTTGATTTAATTTTGCTTCATTCAGTATGTAACGTTGCATTCTTATTCTCTATACAGGAACCTCCTCAGGCATATTCAACTTAACAAAGGTTGGCAAGGTTCATGGAGTCTCCTGAAATATTCAGTTCTGCAGTATGATATATATTGATTTAATCATTTGTCAAATTTTTAAATCTTTGCTGCGGTAAGTAATAACAAGTCCATCAGTTTATGTAGCGGTTCATAATAGGTAATTTTTTAACAGAGGGAGTTCAATTAGTTAGTTTATGATCCATATTTTATCTTATGGATTCTAAGCTATCTATCTAGCACTGACAGAATAATGTTTCATTTCTCTTCTTGGTAGGTATGATATATGATATCTTCATGATCTTTGTCTACAATATAAAGGCTTAAAATTTGGTATCGAATAACACCACACTGCAGTCCTCTATCCTTTACCTCCACATTCCTTTCTGGGAGTTAAATCTGATCCCAAAATCATGACTTATCTTAATTTCTTATATGTTCTTCTCTGGTAAACTTTTGCTTAACAGTACATGCCAATAATATGGAACACATGTCAGAGAAGTATTTGCCATTTTCATGGAGGATATTCTCTACTCTGATAAAGTGAAGTTTGACAAGTACAAGGAAATAATATGTAAACAGATGAAAGACATGTAGGTCAGGTATTTGTCTAACCAGCAAGAGAAGCATCAGGACTATAAATGAAGACAACAGGACAGCCGGAAGCTTTGACATTAAGTCAAAAAAATATCTCAACACGCACATGTACATGGAAGGTTTAGGGTCTGCTTGGGCTAAGTAGTTTATTTTAGTTTAATTCTTTTCACTCGGCCAGCCTAATATAGTTAATTTTTTTAACTAGGCCAGCCTAATGACACTATGAGAGTACTAGGTACATCCAGGCCACGCAAGTATTTTCTTTCCTAGGGCGCCAACCAAACAATCACCACGCCCAAATCATAAATGCATCTACCATACTGATGCCTACATTAACTGCTTAATTTCCTGGTAATTAAAAAACAATTTTTGACACAAGATCATTTGGTTACACATTTTTATCCCAACAAATTCATCTTCTCTACCACAAAATATTGACTTTTGCCAACTACATGGACTACCATAACGAAGGCAATAGGTCCGAATGTTGCATGCAAAATTGTTTTCTCAGTTCCTACTTCTGCACAATTTTCCAACATTATGTGATCTGATGCACAAAACATTGTTCTGCCCCCTTCATCAACGTATTCAACTAGATAAACACACAAGAATTACATAGAGGCTATTACAAAGATGAAGAAAGCCACGAAACTACCAACAACAATCGTCTCACATGAAGAAGACACCACAAAGGATCATCCGTTCAGGGCTGGCAAAAAAAAATCTTTGAGTATATGAAGAAAGGAATCCCACATGGACATTTTTATCACGGAAGAAAGCACCAGCATAGACAACTCCAAGAAAATTTAAGCACATATTATGTTATTTGTCCTATATAAAACTGTTATTACCCTATCAAATAATCAAGTAAAATAAATTCATTACTTCATTTTCGCTGAACGGAAATTCATCCAAATTATTGCATCTAATTCCCGCAGCAACGCGCGGGGGAATTATCTAGTTTTATTAAAACTCAAACAAATAATTTCTCTTTCAATACAACAAATAGTTTCTCTTTCAATACAACAAATAGTTTAACAATACAACATCAAACATATAAATCACTAGTTTTGTCGACCATTCCATGCACACCACTCCTTGATTAGATCCTTCTGAATATCATCATACGTTTTGGCACATCGAATGGCACGATAGGAGGCAACAAATCGGGCCACCCTCTCAGCCCTCCGTCGCACTCGCATTGAACGTCCCAAGAGCTCATACTGAGAGTAGTCTCAATCTTGCCCACGCTCATTCTCGATGATCATGTTATGCACGATCATACAAGCGTTCATGATGTACCAAAGGATCTTTTGATCCCAAAATTTTTCCGGTCCTCTCACAATAGCAACTTGGGCTTGCAAAATCCCAAAAGCTCTCTCCACATCTTTCCTAGCCGCTGCCTAAGCAATGTGGAAATCAAGATTTTTCTTACCTTCCAGTTTTTTCAACGGCTTCACAAATGTTTGCCACTTTGGGTAGATGCCATCCGCAAGATAGCAGCCATAGTTGTATATATAGCCATTTGCTACAAACTGCACCGGTGACAGTTCACCAATTGCAATCCTATTCATGAGTGGTGACCGATTAAGAACGTTGATGTCATTCAAAGATCAAGGCATTCCAAAAAAAGCATGCCAAATCCAAGTCTTTTGATCGGCCACAGCTTCAAGGATTATAGCGGAACCCTTTTTCTGGCCGTGGAATTGTCCATGCCATGTCTTAGGACAGTTCTTCCAACTCTAGTGCATGCAATCTACTGAGCCAAGTATACCTGGGAACCCACGAGCTTTGTTCATCTCCAAAAGCCTTGCAGCGTCTTCAGGATTGGGAACTCTCAAATACTCCGGACCAAACACTTGCAGAATTCCGACTGC